CTTGGATCTCTGTTCTAAAATCTATCTAACCATGAAGGAAGTACAAAAATATATTCTGTGATTGATGAGACATTTATAATACCATAAACAATGTTCCAAGATTCCAGGATTTCTAGAACCACCACCAATACTTAGTTGTTTTACAGTACTTCAGTGATAGCCTAAGCAGGAGGATTACCTTGCTGAGGTTTTCTTTGCATTTTCCTATGAATTAATACTGTTAAATGAACACCATGTACTTATTGGTCATTTCTCCATCTTATTTGAAAAAGTATCTATTTAGATTCTTTGTCCATTTTTAAGTTGAGTTTCTAGTAAATTGCCAAGTTCTTTACCTATCTTTATCAGGTCTGGACATAATTTCTCCTTTTCTGTTTTTCTTTCTTAATATTTGTTTTTCTAATATTATATCTATGTAGCCTGAAGAGGCTAAAAGAGGAACTGGAATTACAGGAGGTTGTGAGCCATCTGAGGCTAAAAGAGGAACTGGAATTATAGGAGGTTGTGAGCCATCTGTGATAGGTGCTGGAAACTGAACCTGTGCCCTATGCCAAGAAGATCACTGATAGCAGCCAAGAGATAACTGCTGAGTTATCTCTCTAGCCCTTACCACTTTTTTGACAATTTCCTTCAGTGCATAAAAGACAATCAGTGGACAAAAAAGAAGGTTCAATATGTAAAGCCACTTGCTGCTAAGCCTGATCATCTGAGTTGGGTCCCTGGAACACAAATGGCAGAAGAGAACGGACTCCTAAGGAGTGAGTTGCCCTCTAGCATCCACATGTATGCCATGCACAGACAATAAACACATGCATACACACATACACACATAGACATATATGCATACATAAGTAAAATTTTAAAGGTTATCAGGGAATTTTATCTAAGAATGTCTTAATTCCTTCTTCAGTTTTAACTCAGGGTTTTACTACATAGAATTCCTGATAGTTTATATTCTCATTGCTTTAAAAAAAATATGCTCCTATCACCTACATGACTTCTGTGATCTGAGCACATTGTATCTGAACCATTTGCTTTGCTTTGAGGATTTCCTCTGTAACATCAGGTTTCATCAGGCTGACTGTGCCTCAGTGCAGGCCGCTTCTTCTTATCCTTCTTGGTTGGGGTAGCTGGATCTTGAAGGCACAGGTTCATGTCTCTGGTCAAACAGAGCAAGCTTCTGGCCATTTCTCTCCCCTGCTGTCCTTCCCCTGCCTCTTCTCCTAGCATTTCTAAGATGGACAGGTCAGTACACATCATGTTGTTCTAATGCCTCCCAAGAGCTGCTCCTTTGTTTGATTTATGACCCTCAGACTGATCATTTCAACTGACAGAGTAAAGGATACTGACATTCCAGGCCGCTCAAATCTGCTACTAAAACCTTCCGCTAAGTTTCTTTCATCTGTTAGCCAATTTTCAGCTCCACAATTCTTACATATTCATAGAGTTTCTAAATCTTTACAGTTAGTCTCTATATATTCACATATAATTCTCTTGATATCTTTCTGCAATTTCTCCCATCACTTCCTTGCCATCTTCATTGGGAGTAAGACAGTTGCTTTAAACTTCTTGTCTTGTAGTGCAACACTTGACCTTCATCAGAAGGAGTCTGTAAAGTTCTTTTGTGAATGTTTCTTTGCCAGCTTCTTAATCTTTGTGGGAAAGTGGACAAACCAGTAAATTTGGAAATAAGATGTTTCAGATAATCCTCCCATTCTAAGTTGGTTTTGTTTTATTTATGCTGAAAATGTGTTGAGTGATTTTATAAAGCACGTATTCTTTGTCAGCTGTGTTCTCTTACAGTTCTCTTCTATCAACTTATATTCACCAGCCAATGTTTTTAAATTCCTTTGAATATGAAGAGGAGACAGGAAGAAAACAAAAAGTGTCCCGTTCTTTGTAGACTGTCCTCCAGTCCTCTTTCAGGGTGTAGCCAACAAATGAGGCCGTTCATAACTCTTGCCCTAGCCATCACTTCCTACCTGCACTGAGCATAGACAGTCAAGCAAAAGCCAAAGAATTTCTCGGGCCTTTTCTGACCATTTTCCTATTTTTCAGCCTACACAAAGGACTCAGAACTCTCCAGTATAATGGATATTTTTAATACCCAAGTAGAATAAAGATTTCCCCTCCTTTACTCTGCTGCCTGTCACTTGACCACACTAGAGCTCAGGCCTCTTGCTGCTTCTCAGGTCTCCTGCCTGTGTTCCAAGAAGAGTGAGCCAAAGACTCTTGCCTTAAGTCACTCCTCCACATCACCTGCAGAGAAAGACCAACAAGAGTTCTCTTATTTAAATAATTTTTGCTCTTCCAAAAGGGACTGCATCTTCAAGACTTGAAGAGGCTGCAGAGCCAGAGGAACCATAAACAGAAGAAAAATCTCTTAACCCTTTCTTCAGTGCCTTTATCTGTAGTTCACAATCTTATGCATGCTATAAAACTCTTAATGCTCTCCAAAGTTGTCATCAACTTGGTTCTGTCAGTTTCTGCTTGGCTTTTCAGCATTTCTGCCAAAGGACAGGCACATGGAGCTGCCTACTCTGCATGTTGACATAATCACTACACTTACTAATTTTTACTGACATCACCACTTCAATCACTAACACACTCTACTTAACTATAAACACCAAAGTAAAACTAATTTCACAATAAGCTAGAATTTATAAACTGTTCTCAAAATAGTATAAAGTGAAACTTAATTTACCTGGCCATTTGAGGGTCCTTCTTCCTAGTACGTATATGTGTTACCATGTGCATGCACACATAGGTGGAGGTCAGAGGTTAATGTTGGGTGTCTTCCTCAATTGCACTCCATCTTAATTTTGGGGGCAATGTTTCTCACTAAACTTGGAGCTGACTGACATGGCTAGACTGTGCAGATTCCTAGAACTCACTGGCCATAGTCTAGCCATATCAGTGAACTGTGGCTATCTGCCTCTCTCATTCCCCAAGTTCACCACAGTACCCAGCTTTTGACAGGGGTTCTGAGGATCCTAACTCAGGTGCTCATGTTTGTACAGCAAGCACTTTACTGACTGAGCCAGCTCCCCACCCACATCATTTCTTTTAATAATGTAAAAAACTACAGTAGAGAGTGGGACTCTTTTAGCATATGGTACCAAACAACTTCATATTTATGAAAATGAACGTGGACCCATATAACACACTGTATATGAAAACAGATGAGACTTAAATGTACAACTAAGTCTATAGCTACTAGAAGAAAAGAGAAATCATTACAGTTTCAGCTTTCTTTGCTACAACATCAAAAGCACAAACAAGAGAAAAAACTGGATGAATTAGACCAAACAAAATTTTAATGCATCAAGAAAGTGAAGATACAGGCCCACAAAATGGGAGAGACTATCTGCAATCATAAATCTGGCAAAGGCTTACCCAAGATAGCTAAGGAATGCTTACAACTCAGCAACAGAGAGACCAACAGCTCAGTTAAAAAGTTGTTGAAGGAAATAAATATACAATTATTCAAAGATATGCAAATGAACAGTAAACATACAAAAACACTCAATCTCAATAATCACTAGCAAATACAAATAAAACCCATACTGCTACAATAAACATGGCAGACAATAACAAGTACTGGTGAAGGCATGGCAAAATCAGAAAGCATGTACACTGCTAGCAAGAACACCAATGATGTAGCCAATTAAAAAACAACATGGTGGTTCTTTCCAAATGCTCAACAGAGTCATTACCTAGCCTAGCAATGTCCCTGCTGGAATACAACCAAGAGAAACAAAAACAATGTTTATGAAAATCTGGTATCCGGTGTTCATGGGAGTGCTGGTTATTTGTAACAGTCACAGGATACAAACTCCTCAAATGCCTACCAATGTGGTCTGTCATGCAGTGGGATGTTACTTGTCAACAAAAGAAAATACTACTTGGTACTACAACATGTATAAGCCCAGAAAACATGCCAAAGTAAAGAAGGCAATGACAGAAGACCTCACATCTGACTCCACACATACAAATGTCCAGTGTAGGCAAAACCAGAGACAGAAAAGTAGAGCAGAGGTCACCTACAACTTTAATGGAATAAAAGGAGGAAAAAATGAAGTGATCCAGTGAATTTTGGGTTTCTTTGGGGAATACTAAAATGTTCTAAAATTAGATGATGGTGATGACTACACAACTTGATGAATAGAGCAAAAACACAGATCAGTAAATCTTAAATCAATTAATCTTAAGTCACATATACTCATTAAGGTATTAAAAACAAACAGCTTGAGGGGATTATTTGATGTAATTTATTCATTATATATGCCCACATTCAGACAGAACATACAATACCCACTCTGATTTTACTTTTCAACATAACTCCAGGGTTATAACTGTCATTTAGAGTTTCAGTGTGCCCCACACTATGTCCTCATCAGGTCTGTCTTCTACTGTCACAAAAGGCTGTTTCAATCAGTGTGCCCCATTCTCTTCCTGACAAACTGCTCCATTTTCAACTAGAGACTGGGAAATGAGGAAAATGAGCTCTTTAAGTATTTGTAAAGGCCTGAATGTGGAGTAGGGAACACTGTGTGTATACACCCATGGCCACACTGGATGATGACATTTATTTCAGATACTTAATGCCATGCTATGAACACTGACCTCTATGGGTGTGCTTAAAAAGAAGACATACTTTAAAGTACTATTGTATACCACACAGCATGTGTACATAGCACCTGGGTTTCTTTCAAATCTGTTAAAGAGCATATCATATGTGTTTGTGTGAGTGAATGCAACATGTGTTTGTGAATAAATATGAAATAAACATATGTACACATGCACAACACATACATGTAAGCATCAAGAAAATGAATAAAACTCTACCTGAAATTGCAGCATTATACACTGTAAGGAATTTGGAGCCTATATACAGTCATGTGAGATTTCAAGAACAGACTGAGCATGCTCCCTTTCTGTGTTAACTCTAACATGCTCATACTAAGCATATGTAGAAGAATTAAAAGTCTCTTGCTCACCTCTTACTGTAAGCTTGCTATATAACTGTGAATTCATTTCCTTGTCTCGCTGAAAACGTCGAAATTCATCAATCGCTTCACGTGCAATAGTAACAGCCAGGACAAATCCCTAGAAAACAAAAAGTATCTTTGAAAGCAGAACAAAAGAACAGAGGAAAATTCTTTATTATTTAGTTGTACTTTTTCCCCTTCAATTTATATTACTCCCTAAAAAACAAAATGAATAAAAATAAAAACACCACAAAAGTGCATATAATACACACTGGGAAAAACAGCACTAGCTGGATAGCCACATGTAGAAGAACAAAACTAGACCTGTATCTCTCATTCTGCCAAAAATCAACTTTACATGGATCAAAAACCTTAACATTCAACCTGAAACTCTGAAAATGCTAGAGGAAAATGTAAGGTATGGGCACAGGAAGCATTTCACATGACTCCAGCAGCAGGAAATAGGGCCAAATATCAACAAATGGGACCTTGAGAAATTAAAAAGCTTCTGAATAGCAAATAAACTGCTAATCAAGTAAAGAGGCAGCCTACAGAATGGGGGAGGAGTCAGTATTGACAACACAAGAAGAACTCAAGAAACAAAAAAAAAAAAGCAACATAATAAGAAACAGGCTGAAAAGCTGAACAGAGGGTTCTCAAAAGAAGACACTAAAGGACCAATAAATATTTTTTAAAATGTTCACCATCCTTACACATCAGGAAAATACAAATTAAAATGACTTTGAGAGCCTAGCTCATCCCAGTCAGACTGGCTATCTCAAGAACAACAAATGCTGGTGGCAGGGTGAGGAAAAAAGATTTATTTGCAACTCGTGGGGATATAACTATAAAGCCACTGTGGAAATCAGTGTGGAGGTTTCTCATAAGCTACAAACACAACTTCCATAAAGCCCTGCTACACAATTCCTGGGCAATTTCCACAGGCTCCGTACCTTCCATAGAGATACCTCCACACACGTTTACCACTGTTATATTCAAAATAGCAGGGAAACAGATTGGGCCTAGATGACCATCAACAGATGGATGGACAATGAAAATATGGTACACATATGCACAGTGGGTTTATTCAGCCACAGAGGAAAGTAAAATTATACAACATGCAGGAAAATTTATAGAATTTGAAAATATTACATCAAATGAAATAATGCAGGCTCAGAAAGACAAAAAAAAAAACAAAAAAAAAAGACACGTGTTCTCTCTCATGTGTGTAGCTGAGATTTTAGTTTTATATAAGAGTATCTATGTGGGAGGGAGGGAGGGTAAATGCCAGAAAATTCGAAGAGGAGCCTGTGACAGATGAAAAAATTACTTTCAACAGAGAATTACCCTGTAATTAAATCACAGTAAATGTTATCTACGCTATATTTAAGACCTAAAAAGTCATGATTGATTCTATTAGCATCTAATCGCTTATGAAAAATTTTAAACTCTCCATTATGTTCTCTTAGGAATTACTGAAATCCACTTCCAGATATATTTCCTCTTGAGTATTAATTCTGCTGAGAATGTTGTGATACTCTGCTTTTGAAAATTTCTACATTTTAACAATTTCCCATGAGTTTCATTTTTATTGTGATCTTGATACCTTTCATCTTTTGTTAGTTTTCATTGTATGAATTTAAAAGCTGGAGAAGATCCAAGTGAATGGAGTGATGAATGAATGAAATTTCACACAAAATATAAACTAAAGAAAAAAATTAGAGGCTTGAGGGGAGACTCCACAGTTCAGATTACTGAATTATCTTCCAAGAACAAGGTTTAATCCCAGCAACCAGCTGGTGGTATATAGCAGCCTGCAACTCTAGTTTTAAACACCCACACATTTGATATAAAAGAAAAAATGAGATGGAAAAATCTAAGGTGATTTCTCTTCTACACTGAGTACCTGCTTGGGAAAACAAAACTATTTTGGATGGAAGAAACAGTGCAATAACTTCAGAATATACGAACTACAACAACAAAAACACCAAGAAGTCAAACAACCCAAATGTTAAATGGGCTAGTAAAATGCAACCAGTTCTCAAAAGATGAAAACAGAAATGGCCAAGAAACAACATACGGAGGAATAATTTGCCTCACTGGCAATCAGAGAAACCCTAACTAAAATATACTAAAATCTCACATCATCTCAGTCAGAGTGGATGTCATCAAGAAAACAGCAGACTCCAGCCAGGGAAGAGGCAGGCTGACTGCACAGCCTCCCCTCTCCCTCCACTCCTCTCAAACTCAAGCCCAGTCTCACCACAGCTCTGCAGCAGACACCTACTGCAGCCTCCCCCGGCCCTGCCTCCATCTCCAATAGATCCCACAGGTCTTCTCCAGCCCTCCTCCCCACTCATTCCACTACAGGAGGTCCAAAAGAGAAGATGGCAAGAAATAACTCAACTTAGGAATGAAATCCATAAAATATAAACAAACCAACAGAAAATACAAAAAAATCAATGAAACAAATAGTTGGTTCTTTGAGAAAACCAGTAAGATTGCCAAACCCTTATCCAAATTAACTAAAAGGCAGAGAGAGAATATCCAAATTCATGAAACTAGAAATGAAAAGGGGGACATAATAACAGATACCAAGAGAATCTACAGAATCATAAGGACATACTTTAAAACCTGTAATCCATAAAATTGCAAAATGTAAAGTGGATAATTTTCTTGATACATACCACTTACCAAAAAGTTAAATCAAAATCAGATAAACAAATTAAATGGACCTATAACCCCTAAGGAAACAGAAGTAGTCATTAAAGGTAAAGAAAAACAAGTGCCCAGGGCAGATGGTTTTAGCATAGAATTCTACCAGACTTTCAAAGAAGAGTTAATGCTAATACTCCTCAAATTATTTCACAAAATAGAAACAGATGGAACAGAAATCAGTAGCCTTCCTAAATATAATTGACAAATGGGGAGTGAAAAAAAATCAAAGAAACAACACCTTTCACAATAGCTTCAAGTAATATAAAATATCTTGGTATAACTCTAACCCCCAAACAACCCAGGCTGTTGCCAAAACTACTGGTTGCTCTACAAAAACTGATAACAAGTCCCCACTGCTGAAGACAAAGTCTACACAACTCACTGAAGATGGTGGAGAGGTTGAGCTAGAGCTACACAGAGCCTTCACCTCCATGTGTTAGTGTCTTTGGTACAAGAATGTTACCAAAAGAAGAATATGAACCCAACCCAGCTACAAATCCTGGGATGAACAGTGGCGGTCTGCCTGTAAGATATTCTAGGTAGGGCAATGGTGGCACAAAGTTAGTGAGAGTACCAACCAATTTCTAATTTGACTTAAGGCTCACTCCATGAGATGGAATCCATACATGACACCGCTTGGGTGACCAACCTAAAATTAGATAGTCCAGAGACCTAGGGTAAAACCAAATAGAGAAGAGAAGGAGGAAGAGAAGAAGGAAGAAGCCTCTTCTTTCTTGGGGTTCCCTGAGCTCTCAGAGGAGGGATTTGATGGAGACTTACTGTTTCGGGCTGTGTGTGTCAAGGTCTCTCACTATGGAATGTCTAGGTTGGGAGTCTCTATATTTGTTCCCATCTCCTGCACTAGGACGATTCTCTGATGATGACTGAGGAAGGGACTGATTTATGAGTAGAGCAGAAAGTCATTATGAGTCATTTTATTGCTAGTTTTCTTTCTTTCTTCTTTTTTAAGTCAAACAATGATAGTTTGAGAATACAAACTCCTAAAAATCTGAAGCAATGCATATTTAGTCATATTTGCTTTTGCCCTTTGTCTTTTTTATTAACTCCAGTTTCACTAGGATTTTTTAACTAATTATTTTTTGTTGATGAGGTTGCACTATGTATCCTTGGCTGGTCTGAAAATCCCTCCATAGACCAAGCTGGCCTCAACTCATAGACACCAATCAGCCTGTGTCTCCCTTGTTCTCTCTAGGGGAAAAAGGGTAAGTGCCTTTATTTGGATACCTTATGATGAATTTTAATTTTTTTATAAAGGTAGTTATTTTACCCAGGGTTGGAATGAGTGTGTGTGTGTGTGTGTGTGTGTGTGTGTGTGTGTGCACTCGAGAATGTGCATATGTACATGTGCTTATGCATGCAGAGAACATACTGTACACCACGGCATCTTCCTTGTTTTCATGTTTGTATTCATTTCCAGTTCTGGTTTCATTTAAGTTTGTTAGCCTGATTTCAGGTATAGGTTTGCTTTTGAAATGCTTAATAATTTTTTGGCATGTAAGACTTTAATTGTATTTAGGTAAGTATTTTAACATGAAACTAGTTCACTATGTATGAAAGGGGTAGGAATGAAAACCCTGCTGTGGAATACTCCCTTTGTACATTGTAAAGATGTGTCACTCGAATTGGTTTAATAAAATGCTGATTGGCTGGTAGCCAGGCAAAAGTATAGGTGGAACAGCCAAACCAAGAATGCTGGGAGGAAGAAGGGCAGAGTCAGGGGAGATGCCAGCTAGCCACCAAGGAAACAGATGTGGAGAAAATGAGCTAACAAATCACGAGCCACGCGGCAAAGCAGAGGTAAGAAATATGGGTTGATTTAACTGTAAGAGATAGGAAGCAATAAGCCTGAGCTATCGGCTAACCTTTTATAATTTATATTACAAGTCAGTTATTTGGGAAGCAGCTGCTGGTTATTTGGGAGCAGGTGGTTGGGACAGGAAAACTCTGCCTACAAAAGCCCTTTTTTGTTTCACTTCTTTCAAGTCTTGAATTTTGTTGTCATATTTAGATCTGAGAATTGAAGTATTTTTATGGAATTTTCTTTGATTTCACAATTTACAGTAGCAAAACTTATATCTGAGAGATAAGAAGGATAACTACTAATGAATGCTTGTGTTGTGTACATGTCTCTTACTTAATATTTGATTTAGCAGAACTCTAAAAGATTTAGTGAGCACATTGGTTCACCTTCAAATCTAAGAAACAGGCTTCTGGTATGCTGTTGGCTCATTAATTACAAAGTCACCAAAGAAAAAAAATTTTTTTTTTAATTTAACCATATAGAATTTATTTCAGAACTATAAGATAGGTTTAACATTTTTATTATTAAAAATCACTTTATTATAATGAACTCACAAATAAAAACATCAGACATTTGCCCAGTCCCAAATGCTACCTCTCAATGAAATATAATTAGAAAGGCCATTCTAAAATTATGGAGTTTTGCTTAGGGTTTTGCATTTTCACTATTAATTACAATTTTATACACTTACTCCCCAACCTAGACCAGTGTCTGTTTCTAGACTATCTTCTCCCTGACAATTCAAGTTCTATTAGGACAGGATTTTGTCTAGCTTTGTTCAGAATATCAAGACTGTAGTAGTGCTGGATACAAAGGAGCTGATGAAAACAACTGGGTATTCACCCTACATGAACTTTAAATTCTTTAGTGAGCATACATAGTGTTCGGTTTCATTACAGCCTTTTCAAACTAGACATGTCTGATTTCCCTCCTGGCCTCTTATTCTCTCCACTCCAACCCTATACCTTGCTCTCTTCCACCCACTCCCTATAGCTTCCTTTTGGCATCCTGTCTCACGGGTCACACTGGTCTCCCCACATTTCTCAACACCTCATGTCCCCTCTTGTGGACTTCTTTCTGGATTCATAGCCTGCCTTTGCAATTTTATTCTAAAACATACTCAAAAACAACATTAAGCATTTTTTGTCTTACCAATCACATTTCTGTAAATAATTCCCTTCAAAATAGTAAGCTCATTTTAAATGTCTTCAATATATACTGGCAACCCTCCTAAGAGGCAGCCCACACAGATTTATGCTACAGTGGGTAAGTGCCATACGTCACTTTTTCTTGTAGATCAATGCCATTGTCACTTTGAACTTAACTGCTTATTGTGGTTTGTATGAAAATGGCCCCCATAGACACACAGGGAGAGGCATTATTGGAGATGTGGCCTTGTTGGAGTAGATGTGGCCTTATTGGAGGAAGTGTGTCACAGGATGGGCTTTAAGATTTCAGATTCTCAAGCCAGGCCCATTGTCACTCTCTCTTTCTGATGCCTGTCGATCCAAAAGAAGAACTCTCAATTACCTCTCCAGCACCATATCTGCCTGCATGCTACCATGTCCCACCGTGTTGATAATGGACTAAACCTCTGAACTGTAAACCAGTCCCAACTAATTGCTTTCCTTTATAAGAGTTGTCATGGTCATGGTGTCTCTTCACAACAATAAAACAATGATTTAGCAAGTGAAACATGCATTCATTTATTCAACAATTTTATAAAATACAGTCAATGTATCTCACTCATCTCAACTATGAAAATTATATGCTAAGTATTAAGTAATATAGCATAGCTATAGAAGTATTTTACCAGAGGAGCCCAGTAGGTGTAGAGGTAGCCAATTTTCAGTGCTGGTACAAACTGTGAGCAGGACACTACCAGAAAATAGAGATTCAAGAAAAACTTGAATTGTTCATACAAAACCTAAAAAGGAATAAATAAATTAGCACAACCCCTTCAAGAAAAAGGTATTAATACTTCAATCAATTAAAGTTAGCAAAGCATGCAAGCACATTTCCATCAGTCAGGGTAAATTAATTACTTCTGACATTGGCTTCCAACACACCCTTATGCTTTAGGCAAGGTAATGAGCACACTTATAAAATCTGAGTACCAAAGAGGAAGCTCTTACAAAGAAACAACCTAAACGTCTGAGATTCATCAAACAGGAAAAAAAAAGTGTGTGTGTGTAAAATATAGTGAGCACAGACACTGAGCTTTACAAACATGTAGTGAACAAGCCAATGGATCCAAGCATGACTACAGGATATCTGACTTACTCTCAGAACAGAATAACCATTCACATGAAAATATTTAACTAACAGACTAGTTTTCTGGAAGACAGCAGCCTCCATACTCTTTGGCATCTTTTAGTACTTGATTTTCGCATTATTTTCAAATATGAAATAAATTTCATCATTTACTATATTTTATGATTGCTAAAACTAAAAGGTTTTGCTTTTTTCCCCTCTTTTTAATTCAGGTCAAGGTTTCTAGAGCTGAAGATAACAGCTCAGAGGCAGGCCAGCATACATGAGGCCCTAGGCTTAATCACAACATTGAAAAAAAAAAAAAAAAAACCCACTAAAAAATAAAAAGAAGCAACTGGAGTTATAGTTAACAAAAAATAATTTTAGCCAGGCACAGTTGTGCACACCTTTAATACCAGCTCACAGGAGACAGAGGCAGGCAGATCTCTCCAAGCAAGTTGGGGGCCAGTCTGATCTACACAGTAAGTTCTAAGATGGTCAGGGCTACATAAAGAGACCCTGTATCAAAAAACCAAAAAGGAAAAAAAAAAAAAAAAAGAAGAAATAATTCAAGTAACAGTATTTTTAGTTAAGTTTGCAAAGTTATAAAGTGTAAATCAAAAATCTCCTTGGAAGCCATTACTCATGCAAGAAGGAAGACACAGCAATTTTAATAAGATAACAATGGGTTAAATGGTTACTGTTGGCTTAAAGAGCTAGAACCAGGTATATATACTGAAGTTACCTGTATCATCATAAAATTCTGTGTGTAACAAAAACAGTTATGCCCACAATATGTTTATATCCATAATCATGCTCAATTGCTGTCTAAAAATGTTTTGAATTATTTCATAAATTAATCTCAGCAGGAAAGAAAGCTCTTTTTCTTCAGCAATTTCTATAAGATCTCAGCACAAATTATATCTATTAGCAATTCAGAAATTGCCATTTGTGCTAAAAATGGCATAGAATTCCTACTGTGTAATTACTAAATGTTTCTGAAATACTACATTTTAGATGAAAAGACTAATTTCAGAGACTTGATAAAGAAGAAAATCATGCACACAGTAACCAAACATTGTGGAGCGCCATCAACAGGTATTCTCAGAATGCAGCCAATAGCTGTGGGAATTTACACTTGTCAAAGTTGAGCTACACTACTGGCTTCAACTATGACCAATAGTTTACAATGCACCTTGGTGACAATACACCGTTCTTAAACACTTTGTATTTAATACTTTATTCTTAAGGAAAAAAACAGTTATTTTGTTCAATAAAAATGAGAACATTTATCTGACTGAAAAATAGTTTACATTTTATTGTTCCAATAAAAGATCAGTTTTTTGATTATGGAGTCATTAGTCCCATGTTTTAATAAAGAAGCACATTAGATGTCAAGCCTATTAATGAATGGTTGGGGACAGCGTGGGGAGGGCCATTATGGTCCAAAGAAACTCAGCATAGATACTTGAATAAACATATAAGATAAAACAACTTTTATTCCACATAAATAATCAAGAGCTTTTCTTACAAAATAGAGTAAGAACTAAACTTTGCCAACATTCTTGTTACAGAAATATAAGATACATGATTGAATTTTTTCTCTACTGATCAATCATGTTGATTTATCTAAAAATCAATGATTAAAAAGAAAACAAATTCCTATAAAATAAAAAAGACACATAATCCATATCGGCTGCCTTTAGATTCATAAAAAAACATGAACCTATTAATAGGAAATGTATAGAAAGCAAAGATTAATCTACTATTCCAAATCATAGTAAACCCAGTTTTATAATTTAATCAAAAGAATTAGTAACAAAAAGTATTAAAATACTTAAAGCCAGGCGTTGGTGGCACATGCCTTTAATCCCAGCACTCGGGAGGCAGAGGCAGGTGGATCTCTGTGAGTTCGAGACCAGCCTGGTCTACAAGAGCTAGTTCCAGGACAACCCCCAAAGCCACAGAGAAACCCTGTCTTGAAAAACCAAAAAAAAAAAAAAAAAAAAATCCTTAAACTTAACAATATACTCAGTTACAGATAACTAGTAAGTTAACAATGTAGCAAGGCCTGAGATTAACAGCTTGATATAGAAAGGGTATCTATAAATAAATGCATAGAAATATTTCGTTAATGTGAACAAATTGTGTACTTCCTTTATAAATTCCTCTAAATTCCTCAGCAGACTTCAACATTATAGTCTTAAATTTCAAGTGTTCCCAAATTATAATGTGTTTCCTGCCCATTTACCTTTTCTCTAGTATTTCTATACTCTTCTACTTCAGTAGCAGAAATGTTTATCAAGAACTGAAAGCAATGATCAAACAGTGCATTTTCTTAAGTAGACAGAGACAGGAAAACACAAAGGAAGTCTTGAATGGGAAGGTGGGAAACGAGAAGTTGCTGGCATGGACAGACAGTGACATCAGCATCCAGAGTCTCTATATGTCTCTTCAGGAGGCAAGCAAAAGTAGCAAGTGAAGACAAACAATTGACATTGAAGATAGAATCATCTTACCCCAGGGATAAAGGTAAATATATTGTATTTCTGGTTTTTTATAGAATTCCTAGGATGCTTTTCTTCACATTTCTCTGGACATCCAAGCCACACTGTTCGAGCTTTCAGTTCTTTCTTTCTTTGACAGACATTTATCAGCCAATCACAGCAACTGCATGAAACAAAAGATCCATACATGGTATATGCCTTTTTTTAAAGGTCTAGATTAATTCCACATATTTAGAATCATACTGATTGTCTGTATTCCTTACCTAATTCTGTAGCCAGTACCTAAGGCTAATCTGTCATTAACATATGCCTTTTAACATCCTATTACAAAGTCATGATTCTTGAACCTTGAATCTGGCACAAGAAGATCTCATACTGACAATCCAATAAAGAATCCAATAGCCACAGATGAACATTTTAATTTTAATTAATTTACACTGACAACTCAGATCTTCAGTTATACTTCAAGAGTTCAACAGCCACCTTGGTTGGTAGATTCCATGGGACATTATAGATCAGAAGTTCCCATTCCATAGTAAATCCTACAGAACACTACTTGTTATAAAGAAACCAAAAAGTCAGGTTCCTCAAGCCAATACAGCTACTTATGAACACATTTCTTTCCAGCATTCAAAACTCAGCAGTAATTCCTCAGAAATGCACTATTACAAAGTTTTGTTCTGCAAAAAATAATCAATCTGATATATAAATATACAGAGATAGATCCAAGTGAAAACACAAAGCTAAGCATTTGAAAACTACATTACAAATTTAGGAGATGTGTTAATGCTAATTATGTCCTTGTGCACAGAGCAACTGTCAAGTCCACACTACTACACAGAACTGAACAGGAAATGTACGACAGGTAGGCTGCAGGTGTGCAAAGACCAAAGCTTCCTCACAAATCCCACCCAATCATATAGACCACAAACACCATCAGAAGGAGAAGACAGGTGACTTCATGCTCAGAGGAAAGGGCTTAGCATCAAATTTAAAAAAAAAAAAAAAAAAAAAAACTCTAATAGCTGGGTGTGGTGAGTCACACTTGTAATCCTAGCATTTTGGAGGCTGAGACAGGAAGACTGACACCAAAGTAGAAGCCAGACTGTACAACACAGTGTGTTCCATGTCAGCTTGTGCTACAGTGTGAAACCCTGACTCCCACCAAAAAAGTATGTGTGAACCTTACTGACTTGTAGAACTAAGGGAAAAAATTAAATTACGGGGAATTTTTCTAAGACAAAGTAATGTAAGCAAAATGTTAGAAAACACTGAAAAATAAGAAGGGCAACAAAAGAGAAATCTCAAGGGTGATAGTGGGGCACAACTTTAATCCCAGCTCTTGGGTAGCAGAGGCAGGCAGATCTCTGCGAGTCTGAGGCCAGACTGGTCTACAGAATAAGTTCCAGGACAGTCAGATCTACACAGTGAAACCCAGTCTCAAAAATCTAAAGAGAGAGAGGAGGGGAGAGTTCTCTAGAAGAAGTAAGTCTTAATAACAACATTTCCATGCATTCTAAGTTATTGACTATACAGAGAATAGCTCAGATTTATACAACGCCTATGGTGTCAGAGTCACATCCAGTAATACACAAATGATACTCTTCCTTACAATGTCTTAGGGCCAGCTTTTCATAAATGCCTCTACAATCAAAGCAGGGTCCTAGCATTAAATAAAGTATATTTACAGATCAAGAATCTATCTCTTAGAACTTTATTCATGGTTAAATCTCAAAACATAGACCACTTCTTTCCCATTATTTCCTACAAATTAGACTTTTATATATAATTGCAAGTATCTTTGGTTACCATGACCAAAACAACATAGTATTCATGTAACCTTACAAGATGAGCATTTTCCCATGCTTCTGCACCCCCAAATGTTTTACAGATTAACTCAAAGCCATTTAGAACCAGGAATAATCCCAGAATCTGATACCCCCTCCTCCTCCCTTCGCATGGAAATGCCATTCCTGGCTCCAGTTTTCTAGAGACAGAGTGATTTCTGATAACAAGTGAAATGTAAATCTCGTGAGAAAGATCATCAACTTAGATCAGAGGAACAGATACATCACTATATCAATGTCCCTTACGGCAGTCTACAGGAGGCTGCTTCACTCACATGGAGAAATTCAAAATTGGAAAAAAATAACAATCACAACCATTTCAGCAGCACGTTTCTAAGTCTTCAGGCTGGAAATACTGCCAATCAGCAAATTTGAAGAAACTGGTTTTGAGTCAGCCGGATACTAAAAGTAATTTTAAAATGAGCCTTAACTACTCACAGGGTGTACAAGCAATGATATACTGAAAACAAAATACTTAAACTCACTAATCTTAGTTCTGATCTAATTGTAGTGAAATATTCACTAAAATTTTCTTCCTGCAATTAATTTTATACATCTGCTATATGAACCATCCTAAGCAGCCACAATAATTCTGAATGGAAGAATGCTTGGCATTCAGAAATCAGAGACGAACATTCAAAGCTGGAAATACATACACAATAAAGCATTAGGTCCATGCTGACTGCCAGATACATACCCTGATATGTACAGCATTTAATTCCTACCATTTCTCTATGGAGCAGACCCTAACCAAACAACAAGACTAGAAGGGTCTCGGAATATACATCCCATAGTCAATGGGGACGTGCATTAATGCCATGTCCACAGACTATCAAGCTAGGCCAGATGGTTCTATTGGTGTTTCCCATGAGATCACAATTTATTTATATAAAGTATAAGTACATCTTTAGATTTCATTGAGCTCTTTCAATATCCTTAAACCTGGGCCCTTTTGCTGATGACATACACCTTTAATCCCAGCACTTGGAGGCAGAGGCAGGTGGATCTCTGTGAGTTTGAAGCCAGCCTGAGCTACACAGTGAGTTCCAGGACAGCCAGGGCTATACAGAGAAATCCTGTCTCAAAAAAACAAAAATAATAAATAAATCTCATGAAAAGCAAAAATTATCAAAAGTGATACCTACAAAACAGTGACAACAAAAACCCACAGTCCCTGATCTGAAGAAGGTAATCTATAATTAAATATGTACCCACAAAAAAGTACTCCAAGTAGGTTGGATTTCTGGCTATTTAACCTAGAATTTTTTTTTTTTTCTGTAAGTGTAAGTCACAGACAATTTCTAAAGGGATAATGACAAGGAAGATAGTCAAGGTAAGCAGTTTGTATTACAAGCTTTACTTTCTTTCATGGTCAAAGGGTAGAAACCCAAGGGCAGCAAAAGCCCCGACTATAAACACTGAACAATAAAATCGGGTACTTGTTTGTCTGGCTCTGCTTAGCTCCCAGGAATCACTCATCTGTTGGATGTGCCCGCCTGTCCCTGGAGAGCCAGGTGACTCCGTGGCATCTGCACTTTCCCCTACCAGGCTCTAGTCAAGGCAATCAGAGCAGGGTAACATAGCGCCAAGAAAACACTTGGAAATCTGAAGGTTTAACTGGGTGACCTGCTGGGAAAACAGAAAATCTTATTCCTAGTCAAAGCATTAAAGCTGAATAATGCACAGAATTACAGTTATGAAATTATGAAGTTGTATCTATCCCTTTAAAAAGGAAGACATGTCATTTACATTGACACAGCAAACAGAATTAATTCTATGCATCAGCAACAAAGTTATTAATTTTCCTCAGGTTTTAAACATTTAAATTTCCCACAAAATAATAAATTGTGTTTTCCCTTTTACAACAGCATCCTCTGATGTGGGTTAATGTTGTTAGTACATTCCACGATGATGGTATTTTCTTTAGTTTTCATACCAACATATATCCATACACTAACAAATATGCTAGCAACTAAACATCTACACATACTGTTATGTACATGATAATTAGGTGGCAACAGATGACGAACCTGGTACAGAGGAACTTCCATCCACCACAGACAAACCACTCTAGTCCTCTTTTTCTCCGAGTTATCCTAGCTCGAGGTAAGGTGTGGTAATCACTCTCATCATTCTCAAAGCCTTCTTCAGACATCATCAGTGGCATTTCATCCAAATGGGCAGACTCATCCTCCAGCTGGTACCTGGAGACATAACAGAGAGCTAAGCAGTCTTGCTGCAGTGTGCTTCAGCTAGGACAGTGTCCGGCCAAATTTTAGCAATTGCCTGTGGTGGTTTGAAAGAGAATGGCCTCCAAAAGCTCACATCGGATGCTTTGTCCCTTGTTGGTTGAACTATATTGGGAAGGATTAGAAGGTGTGGCCTTGTTAGAAGAGGTGTGTTACTGGGAGTGCACTATGACATTTCAAAGCCCATTCTCTCCCCCCTTCCCAAACTGTAATCAAGCCCCCAATAAATGCTTTCTTTTCTAAGTTGCCTTGATCATGCTGTCTCTCTCTTCATAGAAATAAAAAAAAAAAAAATAACTAAGATATCACCTTTTGTTTTTCTCAAAACAAAGCTGCCTTCATCTGAGGCAAAACATTGTTAAAAACAAACAAACAAACAAACAAACAAAAACTACTAATGATGTAACTTCCCTTGGCAAAAAATAAAAAACATAAAAAAAAAAAAACAGAGTAACCAGGTAAGAAAGGGTTGTTCAAGGAGGACCTTAAGAGAGACATACATGGTCCCCAGGCCCCCGGAGAAGGGGAAAGGGACAAGATCTCCTGAGTAAATTTGGGATTGATATACAAAATAAGATTGTTTCTAATTTAAATTTAAAAAACACTTTTAAAAAGAATGTGACATTGTGAGATTCGAGTGAAAACAAAAAAAGGAAAGTTCATGGCAGCCTGTGTTAGATGAAGCAGCTGACAATCCTCTTGCTATAAACTTCAGAGAGCCTCTGGGAGGTAAAGCTGGGTGACTAAATGACCAAGGCTGCCTAAAACCCACTCACTACATTCAGCTTGACACGAAAATAACCTGAAACATTACTACAAAATCTACATCTCTACAAAAGATGTAGCCAAAAATCTACATCTCTAAGATATGTTATACAACTTTATAGTCACCAAAGATCTAGAAAGTGACTTATGGCAAAACATAGTTATCTGTACAATGAAGGGTCTGAGCACCATCCCTGGCTTTGTTGTCAGAGCTGACAATCATGCTAGCTACATCCTATTTATTCAGTGTCTCTGCTATTCCCTTTGCTAAACTTACACTCAATGAAAACAATGTCAACAATTAGCATAAGTTCTCCAGCTCAACAGTCCGTGTGTGTGTGAGTGTGTGTGTGCACACACATGTGCATGTATGCGTGTGTATGAGTGTGTGTGCACACACATGTGCATGTATGCGTGTGTGGTGTGAGTGTGTGGTGTGTGTGCACACACATGTGCATGTATGCGTGTGTGTATGAGTGTGTGTGTGCACACACATGTGCATGTATGCGTGTGTATGAGTGTGTGTGCACACACATGTGCATGTATGCGTGTGTGTGTGAGTGTGTATGTGCACACATGTGCATGTATGCGTGTGTGTGTGAGTGTGTGTGCGCACACACATGTGCATGTATGCGTGTGTGTGTGTGTGTGAGTGTGTGTGTGCACACATGTGCATGTATGCGTGTGTGTGAGTGTGTGTGTGCACACACATGTGCATGTATGCGTGTGTGTGTGTGTGTGTGTGTGCACACATGTGCATGTATGCATGTGTGTGTGAGTGTGTGTGTGCACACACATGTGCATGTATGCGTGTGTGTGTGTGTGTGTGTGTGTGAGTGTGTGTGTGCACACACATGTGCATGTATGCATGTGTGTTACTGGGGACTGAACCTAGGACCTCGCACATTCTAGGCAAGTGCTCGACCACTGGACTATCACCCAAACAGTACACTTCTTCAAAGAGAAGCAGCTTAGCATGCAAACTGGCACATCACTGCTCTCAATCACCAACGCAATCCAACACTAAAAATATCTACCTTCTTGACAACAATCAACTTTCAGAAACTATAATAAAGACCATCAACTGCTATTTCATTTATTTTACAAAAGGCTTCTATGGATGCATCATCTCCATTTGAAACATAATGAAGTAAACCTTCATTATTGAAGCTGCTGGGGTCAAACGGGAGTCATTCAAGCTGAAGCCCCACCCCTTCATCCCACATCCATACAAAAGGCAAACAGAACCAGTAAGAACACATGAGGACAAGGGACAGAGTATTTAAAGTTATTCTACACATAAAGACAGAAGTGAGTATTCGAAACTGACACAGTTGGCGAGATGTTGGTAGGCAGTTTACAACAAAGCAGGAAGCTGCTGAGGACTAGATGCTATCTGATGCTTAGCTTTTAGACTGCTGGAAACCAGTGGTCTACTAAGTATACACTTCAAAGGTTTTACCTGATAGAAAGCAAGTTAGACAATAGTGAATATAATTCAATACACACATATAGGCAAGTACTCTCTAAACTGTCTCTAACAAGGGGGAACAGCCTCAATAATAAATGACAACATGAAATCTTAAAACTTTCTGCTCAGCCAAGGAAAACAATCGGCAGTGAACACACCTACTAGATGAGCTCGCTTTTACCAGCTACACTACAGAAAGGGTTGTCTAGACTATATGAAGAACTGCAGACATCACACAGGGTGGGGGAAGGGGCTGCCAGTTGACAAATGAGTTAATGAAACGAACACAAATGCCCTGTACATACTTTGAAAAGTGTTCGACATTGTTAACCATTCAAAATTACTACCAGATTCCATCTCACCGCAGTCAGAATGGCATAAGACAAGACATAACAAATGGTGTGAAGAATGTGTGAGAGTGGAAGTCACATTCATTGCTGGGAGGGTGGAACCTAGTTCAGCCATCATAGAAATCAGTATATATGTACATCACAATGGAACATATTTCAACTGTAAAAGAAAAGTGAAATTTGCAGGAAAATGCATGGAATGGGAAAGTGTTATGGCACATGAGGCGACTCAGATAAAAACTGAATGTGCGCTTATTTAAGTGGGTTTCATATCAGATATCCTGCATGTCAGATATTTACATTATGATGAGTAACAGGAGCAAAATTAAAGTTATGAAGTAACAACAAAAATAATTTTATGGTTGGGATCACCATCACATGAAGAACAAGAAAGCAAACTCAGAAAGCCTTCCTGTGATGGCAATCTTAGTTGTCAACCTGATGGGAGTTAGAACCTCCTCTGCCTATATCCATGAGAGGACTGTTGTTTCAAGGGAGGTTTGGCTGAAGAGGGAAAACCCATTCTCAATGTGTATGCACCCATTCCATAGCCTGAGGCCCCAGGATGAATAACCAGGAGAAGACATGCTGGTTACCAGTATTTTATCTCTGCTCAGTGACTGTAGACAAAATGTGACCAGGAGCCTCACGCTCCTCTTTCCCAATGAGGACAGACTGTACAGTCAGGACCCAAATAAACCCTCCCTTCCTTAAACTGTTTTTATCAGGCATCAACACGGTAGTTTAAAAAAAAAAAAAAAGCAGTGTACTCCCCTATGTACTGGAAAACAGTCACCCAAGGAAGGGTCTGGAAGGACCAGAGAGCAGAGATCTTGAAGACAAGGGAGAGGCATTAGAGCAGCAATGTGTGAGTGCTGGAGATACAGAGATGTATCAGAGATGCATCTTCTGATACAAAGCAAATGAAAACTGATAAAGCCAAACTACTCCAAATGCTGTTCTCTCCATGTTTATAGAAAGAGATGGACAAGACACACAGTGCCAGGGAAGCACCACAAAGGATTTTAGTCTCATCTCACATTATCAGTATTTATTAGAAGCTCTAAGCTTGAGACTAATTTGTTTCCAAAAAAGACTTTAAAAGTGTGCCTTGCCTTGTGTGTCAAGTGGATAAAGTGATTCTTCTGTTGTTGTCTGAGATAGGACCTCACTATTTAGATCAGACTAGCCTAAAATTCACTTGAGACCGTACTGTCTCAGCCTCCTGAGTAGTGGAATTAACATGAACCACTATATACATTTAGAAAATGAATTCTTTGGGGGTTTTTGTTTTGTTTTGTTTTGTTTTTTGTTTTTTGAGACAGGGTTTCTCTGTGTAGCTATGGTGCCTATCCTGGCAGTCGCTCTGGAGACCAGGCTGGCCTCGAACTCACAGAGATCCTCCTGCCTCTGCCTCCCGAGTGCTGGGATTAAAGGCATGCGCCACCAACGCCCAGCTTTTAGAAAAGGCTAACACTCTTGGACAGACTTTCTTCATGGCAAGAGTAGTAAACAATTCATGTAAATGTACTACAAGTCTTTATGTTACTATACAGTAATATACAGCTACTCTAAATTCAGGTTCACATTATCCATGGAATTAAACATGTGCAGAAATATACTTACAGAGATAATCATAATTGCACTGGCTGTTTGAAAGAGGAACTAAGGAAATAGAAAAGGTTTTAATACCCATGATCAAAGAACTAGTTAAATACACAATGGAGGGCTGAAGTGACGGCTCAGTAGTTAAGAGCACTTGCTGCTCTTGCATAGGGCCCAGGTTCAGTTCCCAGCACTCACATGGTAGCCCACAACTATCCATAACTCCAGTTCCAGGAAATCAGACACCCTCTTCTGGCTTCTATAGGCACCAAGACATACATGGTACATACATACATAGAGACACAAATCACTCATACATGTGAAATGACACATACACACATGCATAATAAGCTATCATATTGCTGGAAAAAACAGGGAAAACTAAAGAATCATGGGAAAAGAAAGGGGCTTCCAACCCTTGCTGACTGGGAATCAAGACAGTCTTCTAAACAAGATTATGAACCTTGCTATCAGCTAAAAACATGTCTTAGTCTTCTTATGGCCTGTTTATAAATAAGAATATTACTTTGCCCTCTGTGACCTACACTTTTATCTTAGGAGTCTATAGACTATCAATGCACCTCAGAAACCACCCTATGATCTCATTCTTTGGCTTGGGGTCTTAGATGGGAGAGGGTGATGTTTTTAAGACAGGGTCTCATGTAGCCTAAGCTAGCCTCCAACTCACTACGTAGCTGAGCATGACCTTGAATCTCCTGTACAAGTGCTAGAATTGCCAGCATATACCAATAGAGTGGTGTGCATCCCCATAACTTCAACAGTGATGGAGATAGAAACCTTGGCTTCAGTTTCATGAGCGCTAGGCAAGCACTCCAACCAAGCCACGTCCCAACCCATGATCTCGTTCCTTAAATAAAGATTCCTTAGATAAGTTTACCAAATCTTTTAATTTATTACAATA